CCTAGGTTCTTGTTGCAATAACACAAACAAACGAGGTTATCTAGAAATTAAACCTTCAATAACCTAAGTTAACCCCCCAAACAAACAACCATAAGGGTTTGAAACTCAATGGAGTGGGTTTCATCCCTGATTATTCCAGGCTCCCCCAAGCCCCCAGACCCCCCTGGAGTTAAAAAAATCATAATTATAGTTATACAAAAAAAACGTAACTTGGTACCCTAACGGGTTGGAGTATTACACATATCTTCTCAAGATTTTTCATCAACGCCACGAAAAATTGAGTTGACTTTTGTGGTCGAGTTGTGAACATCATTATTATGTTACAGATTTATGTAATCCCTTGTCAATACTTGTTCCAAAAAGAGTTAAATCCTCAACCCCTAGGCCCCCTTACGCCTCGACTCGACAAAGGATATGAGGATTGAGAGAGCAAGTAATACGTACGGATGATATAATAAGAACATATATATATGAAAAAACACAAACACTATAATTTAATTCAAATTATCTTTGATCAGCTTATTCACAACAGTTTTTTTTGTATTTTAAAATCTAAATATGCTCTTCAATTTCACCTTATTGAATATATACTCCCTCCGTCCCCGAAAGAAGTTCTCACTTTCCTTATTTGGATGTCCCTAATTTAAGTTCTCATTTCCTTAAATGGAAAGTTATCTACACCAAAACAGTGCCAAACAGTGCAAAACAGTGTCAAATAGTGTCGAAATAGTGTCAAAAGAGTAAAATTTACCCCCTGGTAAGCTTACTTGCATAAAAGTGTGTGAAAGTTAAACGGGAAACTTCTTTCGTGGACGGAGGGAGTAATTAATAAGATATGTGCTAATTTTGTGTCAATTCCGTGCTATCAGGTATATTTGTGTATTTATTAATGCTTACCTTATTATCATCACAAATTTTGCTTAAAATTTGGGTTAATTTATATGTTGCTTCACATGAGTGATCAACAATACTTATGTTAACTTTTAAATTAGACAAATTTTCAGAGAGAAAATGTACATAATGGATATTTCCATCACCATGTTCTATTTGTTAGACTAAGTTTTGGCACAACATTTAAGGGGGAAATAGTAGCGACAACGAATACTCTAGTAAAGGTGGAAAAGTATGAAAACGAAGATGAAAAAGTAAAAAAAAAAAGGTAAATGAGTATTTTAAATGCAAAACCTACCAAAAAAAGAAAGTCTCGAAAATAAAAACACCCCCCTCCCCCCAAAAGGAAATTGCAACATACAAAAGAATACTACCTCCATCCCCTTTTAAATGTCCCGAAAGAGGGTGACACGAGTTTTAAGAAAAGTGGGTTTGTGTGGTTAATATTCATTGATAAAGTAAGAATAAAGTAAGAATGATTTTGAGCCACACAAACTTTACCAAATAAGGTATGAGAATTAAATAGGGATATTCCAATATGGTAAAATGGGACATTTAAAAGAAGTATGAAGGAAGCAATTATCTTGGGTAAAATGAATGTTTGACTTGACATAACAGTACAAGTTAATAATTTTGTAGCTAGTGATTATTAAAATCTAAACCGTTCAATTACAATTTAGTCCAACATGACGTGTGTATGACAAAAAGGTCGTCAACTGTGTTTGATAAGAATAGCAGTATACATGTATAACTCTAATTTGTTTTTTTTAAATGGTCTGACAATAAAATCAGTAAAAATTATAGCATTGTTATTAGTACAATCCATATTTGTGTAGCACTTACAATTCCAAGGTATTCTAGTGTTTCTAAATGAACAAGTCTGTCACAAAATCTAGTGTAAGAAGAGTTAAAGTTGACCACTTGACCATAATCATTAACATTTACCACTACTATATATTAAATAACTAAATAAGAATGCTTTGATTTAGGCTACTTTAGTGTCAGAGCCGTTCAAAATAAATCAAACTAGACTTAAAGTCTTGAATAGAGCAGATTAGGAGATTAAAGCAAACAACTTGGCACCCTACACGGTTGGAGTGCTACACATTTCTTCTCAAGATTTTTCATCAGCACCACGTAATTGAGTTGAGTTTTGCGGTCGAATTGCGAACTTCAACAAAAATGTCATTAAGGCTTCACCAGTTCGGGATCCAATCACACCCCAAGTACAATAAAAAACATCTACAAACTTATCATTGTTGGTAAGAAGTTACTCCCTCCGTCCCCTTTTAAATGTCTCAGAAGAGGGTGACACGAGTTTTAAGAAAAGTGGGTTTGTGTGGTTGGTATTAATTGATAAAATAAGAATAAAGTAAGAATGATTTTGAGCCACACAAACTTTACCAAATAAGGTATGTGACAATTAAATAGCGACATCCCAATATGGTAAAATGGGACATTTAAAAGGGGACGAAGGGAGTATATCAAAAAGCTTTCAATTGTAAGTAATTTCATTAAAATGATACTATATGCATAATATTAAAAGCATATATGTAACTTTGAACACTCAAAAGTTAAGAGCCTATTTAGTAAACCCCATTTCCGGCTTATCGACTATCTTTTTTACCAAAAATGTAAAGATTGATTTCACGCGCTTAATTGTGTAATAATGCAAATAAATGGTTACTTGGAGTTGCTCTATAGTTACTTCAGCCAAATCAAAGACAAATAGAACTTTAATAATACTTATTTTGATTATTACAAAATAAAGTATCTCAATTATGTCAAATATGAGATAAAATTCATAATATCTCATTTTGGCATGGATAGTCCCTACCAAATCCTTAACATCTAGGGATCTGTGCTAATTACGTGACGATTCCGTGCTACTGGATACATTTTTGTAGTTCAGTTATTCATGTTTACTATAAGCTCAACTTAATATTTACTTATAATTTGACTGCATTTAATTATCTTTTTCTTCACATGAGTGATCGGCAATAGTTTTTAGGTTAAATTATTTACGACAGTTAGATAAAAATTAAGACAAAAAAGTACGAAAGTCATATCTATATTAGCAAAATGAATCTTTGATATATATTAAAATCTAAATTGATCATATCAAAACAGAATTTTTATGTCCAGTTAAATCCATTAATAAAAATAAAAATGTGAAAATCTAGGTCTCCATATGTTTGGTAGAATTTTGCAATTTCAGTGGAGTAGAAACTCACAGGACTTTATTTATTGGGGTCTAAGTAATGTTAACCTGCAAGTCCATTTCTATCAATCCTACAACTTGGCTCAGCTCATGATGGGCAAAAAATAGAAATTAAAACATGTTTCTCGTAAAACTAAATTAGAACTATTTAAAATTGAATACAAAATCGTTTTCTAATATATATAAGACGACTAATTATGTTTCATTCATAATTTAAAATTTATTAGGTTGTATTTTTGAAAATTTATAATTCAAAACACAAAATACCTTAGAAATAAACTAGGAAAACTTATTTGACTATGATATAGAATTGTAATGGTAGTGGTAGATATTAATGATTATGGACTATGGTCAAACTTTAACTCTTCTTACACTACTTTTTGCAACAGACTTAGGGTTGGTTTGCAACTTCTTTTAAAAAAACACTACTCAGCTTTTGACTTTAAAAAAGCACTTATTTTTCCAAACACTACAACTTTTCTATTACAAAAAAAACACTTATTTTACCAAGCGCTACCCACTTTTACTTTTCAAAATCACTTTTTCCTCAAACACTATCGAATTTTATTTAATCACTTCTCCTCATTTCATTAAAAAAAATATTTTTTTAAAAGCAGAAACTGTTGCAAACAAACCCTTAGTCATTTGGAAACGTTGCAATTGCTTAGAACTTTAAATACACTAATGCCGATTTTTGTTAAGGAAAGGAGATATTTATTAAATAAAAATTTTGAGTACAATGCGAGAGGGAAATAAAAGTAAGAGAACAAAAGTAAATAAAATCTTTAGGAAATAATAATAAAAAAAAAAAAAACTAGAAAGAAGTTTTGCTACGAAGAACCCACCAAAGTTTAAGGCAAAGTGACCCCAAATTTGGATTTGATGCCAGTACTTCTACTTTTTGGAATAAAAGGAGTTTTGTCGTAGCCAACCAATCCAATTATTCTTGTTTCAATGATAGTCTTCTTAGACTGCCCACAACCCTATTCCTTTAATAAATCAAATTCTACACCTCTTTATACGTATTTACTCAGTCAAATCATTTTTCTCTACAACCCAGCACCGTGAATATATTCACTCTGTAAAGTTTGTTAATTAAAATCTTACACTTATTATTATTATACATTATCTCTTTTTTCAATTTATACAACTACACAACACCAAAATAGTTGTCACTTATCAGTTATCACACATAACTTAAGATTGTTGCATACCAAATTTGATAATGTTTATGTGGTTCAAAGTCGTTCTTACTTTATTTTAACTTTATCAATTCAACATCAACCACATTATCTCACATTTTTATAACCGCACCACTTTCTCTTGCACCAATACTAACGGGACGGGTAGTACTTTGCTAGTGGTTCTTATTTTATTTTATTTTTACAAAAATGACAGAACCAACCATTTAAAAGATTCTCGGTTAAATCGAGTTCATATTATGAGAATATATATACATGGGACAATCTTATATAATTAATTGAATTGGTGGTTCTTAAAGATATAGATATGGGTTGTGCCAACGTCTATTATGTGATACATCCAAACATCCCTCCAATTGGTTGACTTCCTAAACCCAAGACCCTCAAGCCTTGCCCCAACACGACCATATGAGAGGTTGTAAATCAGAGTAATTCTATCAATCCAATAGTGGTACACCTTATACCTGTGCATATCGGAAGTCCAACCCAATATACTAGAGTTTAAACCTCCGTCCGGCTGCTGCATGTTTCGATCATTGATTATCCCTCGAAAATTTACACCGTTCAATCCACTGAGCTACCCATGTGGGCATGAAACATCCAAACATAGTTTTAGTTTTACATCTGGAATTTATTTTGGATTCTTTGAAAAGTGATCATTTTGAATATAAAAAGTGTTCATCTTATATTTGAAAAAAAATCATGTGGTATTATAAAGGCGCGTTTCATCTGAATTTACATCCGGATGTATAATATATGCATTGAATCTTATACATTCTCTCTCTAGCTATAATATAGTGAGACTCACTCATATATACTCTTCATAGCCATATATATAACAAAAACAAAAACAGGTCTTGCTAGATCAAAGGCTTGAGTATGATTTGAAGACCATGCTTAGGTTTGATACTGATTACGACCACCGGAGCGTGACGATAATTCTCGGAGATTTCGAAGCTGAACTTTGATATTAACATGGCCAATACGATCTTAGCTTCCATCAAGGCATAGGATTGGCCGATGCAATTCCGAGGGCCGGCAGCAAACGGAAGGAAGTTCCGGGCAAAGGAGTAGGATGGCGAAGAAGAGAACTTTGACATAAACCTTTCAGGATTGAACTCATTCACATCTTTTCCCCATATTTCTTCATTGTGATGGATGGCAAGAACGGGTATCCATATTGATAGCCCCTTTGGAATGTGAAGATCGCCCAACTTGAAGTCTTCAAACGCCATGCGAGGGAGCAATGTTACCGGTGGATATAGACGTAATGATTCATTTATTACCGCATTTAACTGCAATAATTAATAATAATTAGAATGATATAATAAACAGATCGATATTTGTGTTAAAATATTTGTGTTAAAAGATATAAAGTCATAAAACACTATATAAGATCTTATGTTACTCCTATAACTTTTTAGCATGGAATCCTGAGTCTTAATATGATATTAGGTTAATTCAATTGGACTTTGATTGTTGTTTAGCACCCATGATTAATGTTAGCTCGTTAAGGATTTCTTTGTCGTATTCATACACCTAGATGTTGTCCAGTTTGAACTGAGGAGTGTTGAAGTATCTGTCAAACATCGAAAACGTATAATGGAATGAATGAATTAAGGGATACTTTTAATTTGCACCTCATTTTATGTTCAAATTAGACTTTGCACTCCGTTTTTAAAAAAACTTTGTATTTTCACCCCAAGATCGTATGAAAAGACAAAAATGACCCTCGATCAGGAATGTGTTGGTCAGCCAACATAATTGTTAATGGAGGGGCATTTTGTCTTTTCATACACGGTTGGGGGTGCAAATATAAAGTTTTTTAAAAACGGGGTGAGAATATGATGGAATAAAGCAAAATGACTCACTAAATTGTATGTGCTTCTTTGTTATGAAGTACGGTGTAGCAGTCAGTCTATAAAGTTTTTACGCGATTTTCACTATGGGTTATTCGAAAACAGCCTCTGTGTACTTCAGTACAAGGGTAAGGCTGCGTACATCCGACCCCCATAGGTGGGAGCCTTTGCAGCACTGGGTGATGATGATGATGGAAAGTCTAATTTGGACATAAAAATGAGGTGCAAACTCAAATTACCCAATAAATTGAATGCTATACAAAATCTTTTGATACTCCTCCTATTATGAGGTTGAGATGGAACTCCAAGTCTGAATAATATGTGTACAAAATACCCTAAAACAAATCCTTCCAAAGTTCTCTAAACAAAAATCTGTTTTGCATCACAAGGGTATGTAATTGGGCCTTACAAAAAGTTCAAAGATAGATTTGATTGAGAAAATAAGGCTTACCAAAGTTAGCTTGGAGAGATGATCGATGGAGGGAGGGCCGCCATTGCAGACTTGCTTGACTTCATCTCGAACTCTTTCTTGCCATGACTTGTTGGCGGCAAGAAGCATTAACGTCCAAGTGAGCAATAGGGCAGTAGTCTCATGACCAGCAAAGAAGAAAGTCTTGCATTCATCCATTATCAACGGTAAGTTCAAATGGAACCCATTATTGGTATTCCCTTTCGGCTTTTTCTGCATCTCCGTCAATAACAATCCCAGCAGATCATCACCGTAAGTGCTGCTTCGCCCAATTTCTGCACTCTCTTTTCTGCTTCGTATGATTTCCATCAGTAGCCCCTCCACCTCTAGCTTCAAAGATTTTATCTCATTGTTGTATTTACTTGGATAGAACCTGTTAATTCAGAAAATTAACTAAGTTTAAAGAGAATAAAAACACGTGTGAGAAGACTGCAGACATGTTAAATTGTAGTAATTTTCTTTAGGAAAAATTAACAAGAATAATCACACCTTTCACTGGTCTTCTCATAATAATCCCACCTTTAAATAATCCTACCTTTGCACCTCATCTTCTTTCATTGGACCTTGACCATGTTTTTTACTCTTTCTTTGAAAATTATACAAATAATCTCACCTTTCACTTTTTAATTATATCCTTATAAATGTGAGATTATTTATATAAGATTTTTAAAAAAGGTAAAAAAAACTTGGTCAGGGTCCAATGAAAGAAGATGAGGTGCAAAGATGAGATTATTTTGGGATTATTTAATGGTGGGATTATTATGAGAAGACCAGTGAAATGTGGGATTATTCTTGTCAATTTTTCCTTTTCTTTATCTATTCTACTAGATAAAAGTGTAATATGTTTTAAGTAAATGTCTTTAAGTTGCAGGACAAAATCTGCAACTGACCAAAATTACAGAACTAATAACGAGTACAACGAAAAGAAAGCTATAGGACTAAAGTTGCAATTTTCCCTTAAAATTATATTGAAAAATACTTGTCTATAATTCAATTCAAATTGATTGGGGGAAAATGATGTTAAAATTAAATAAAACATTAATGATAAAAATAAGAACTTGTACTGAGAGAACAAGACTTCATATGAAGGAAATAGTTCGTAGCTTATTTCGTCCATTACATGCATGATACATATATATATTACAATGGTTGGTGTGACCGTGTGAATAATAATAGAAAGGGAATAATCCATGGGCCATGAATAACATGCACCCATATACGTATGCTTAGTAATGAAGAAACATTGCACATGAATAATAATAATAATAATAATAATAATAATAATAATAATAATAATAATAATAATAATAATAATAATAGTAATATTAGATCAATAATTTCAATACTCCCCCTCAAGGTGGCGTGTGAAGGTTGCGAACACCCAACTTGCTTTTGAGAAATTGGAAACGATCAGTGCCGAGCGCCTTAGTGAATATGTCCGCAATTTGGTGTGTTGTAGAGATGCAACATGGTTGGATTTCACCACTAGCAACACGTTCACGAACAAAATAACAATCCATTTCTACATGCTTGGTACGTTCATGAAAAACAGGATTAAGCGCAATTTGTCGAGCCGCTTGATTATCACAAAAGAGAGATGTAGGTCCAATTTGAGTAGTTGTTAAGTCTCGAAGTAACCATCGCAACCATAAAATTTCACTAACTGTGACGGCCATGGCACGGTATTCTGCTTCTGCGGAAGATCGCGAAACAACAGACTGTTTCTTCGTTCTCCAAGAGACCGGTGAATTTCCAAGAGTGATAAAGTATCCGGTACTAGAGCGACGGGTGTAAGAGCAACCTGCCCAGTCAGCGTCACAGTAGCCTTTTAAAGAGAAATCGGTGTCTGCAGATAAGAAAATGCCTTGTCCTGGGGTTTGTTTCAAGTAGCGAAGGACACGTACAGCAGCATCAAGATGAGATTGACGAGGTTGGCTAAGGAATTGGCTAAGTTGACTCACAGAGAAGACAATGTCCGGACGAGTGACGGTAAGATATAGCAGGCGTCCAATCAAACGGCGATACAAGGAAGCATCAACAGGAGGGCTATCATCATCGGGTCGAAGTTTCAAATTTTGTTCCATGGGAAACTGACTAGGACGACTGGCTAGAAGACCGCTTTCTTTTAGGATATCCAGTGTATATTTGCGTTGACTTAGTACAAAACCCTCGGGAGAACGAGCAACCTCGATACCGAGAAAGTATTTTAGGGTACCTAAGTCTTTGATGCTAAACTGCTCGTCCAGGTACCCCTTTATTTTGTTGATATGGGAAATATCATTTCCAGCTAGAATGACATCATCTACATAGATGAGAGCAAAGGTGTGGATTTGTCCTTTTTGAAAAATGAACAAGGAATGATCTGCTCGTGATTGGCGAAATCCTACTGTTAGGAGTGACTGAGTGAATTTGTGATACCAATTACGAGATGCTTGTCGTAGACCATAAATGGACTTCCGTAATTTGCAAACACGAGTGTCACCACTTTTGGTAAATCCTTGAGGAACGCGCATGTAAACGTCCTCGGAAAGGTCCCCGTGGAGGAATGCGTTATTGACGTCTAATTGGTGTACTTCCCAATTACGTTTGGCGGCAACGGCCAACAAACACCGTACGGTGACAAGTTTGGCAACTGGAGCAAATGTCTCATGAAAATCAATCCCTTCGACTTGTGTGAAACCTTTGGCAACCAATCTTGCTTTATAACGTTCCACATTACCATCAGGTTTATATTTGATTTTATAAACCCATTTAGAATCTATTATTTTCTTTCCGGGTGGTAGCCGGACCAGGGTCCAGGTACCGTTTTCTTCCAAAGCATTGATCTCCCTTTTCATAGCCTCCCGCCACATAGGATCCGAAATAGCCTGTGAAAAATGTTTTGGCTCATCACGGGAAGTGATGGCCGTCAAAAAAGCTTTGTGTTTATTAGAAAACCTCTCATAAGTGATAAAATTGGAAATTGGATATAATTTTGGGTCGGTCAGATTTGTGGTTGATCGGGAATGATCCAGGGATGGCGGTAGGTCCATATCAAATTCTGCAAGATGCTTGGGGATTCGGCGAATTCTATCGCCCTTTCTTATCTCGTTCGTAGGGGCTATCGATGAATTAGGATTAGGTGGCCCATGTGCCGGTTCCAAATCCTTCTCCCGTCCATCTAACTGCTCATTATTAGAGTGTTGTGTAGAGGGAAGCTGCGTATGCGGTGTATGGAGACCCTGATCTGTCCCATATATCTCCAAACATGGGTGTGGGGTGCGCTGTTGTCCGGTAGGTGAGAGCTGACGGTGAGCTGGCCCTATCTCGGTGTTTGTGCCGTCTCTGCGCATGTCCCCACGTCGGCACACTGGAGTGCTACAGTCTGGTTGGGAATTGTTCGTTCCAGGATGTTGCTCGGTTTGGCTTCTTCCAGGAGGTTGCTTGGATCCACCCACGTAGTCATCCTGGTGACCGTAAATGAATTCCAAGGAGTCCAGGCAGTCCATTATCACTGAAGAGGGACCACTCAACTGCTGCCTGTTGACTTTTCTGCTATTGGCATCATCTTGGCGTTGTTCGGCCATAGTATGGCTATCTCCAAAAGAAGGTATAGTGCCAGGCCCCACAATCTTTTGATACACACGATTAATAATAGTACCAAAATCAAGCCCTTCATGATCAATATTTTTAAAAGGGGACTCACTCTCAATAAAAGTCACATCTCGAGAGGTATATGTATTTTGTTTTTGTAAATCAAATACCCGATAAGCCTTTTGACCATATGGATATCCGAGGAACACACAAGGACTCCCCCTTTCACTAAATTTGTCTTTGCGTTTGTTGTTATGTGCATACACTAAACATCCAAAAACACGCAAGTGTTTATAGTTAGGTTCCTTCCCAAATAACATCTCATAAGGGCTTTTATTTAAAATGACGGGTGATGGCAGCCGATTAATGATGTAAACGGCAGTGAGGATGCATTCCCCCCAAAAATCAATAGGCAATCCAGACTGAAAACGAAGGGCCCGAGCAACCTCTAAAATATGCCTATGCTTTCGCTCCACAACTCCATTTTGTTGAGGAGTGTCTGTGCATGATGTTTCCAAAATAATTTCGCGTTGTTTATAATATTCAGATAAAAAGGTTGTCTTAAATTCCACTCCATTATCTGACCGTACGCGCTTAACCCGTTGTCCAAATTGATTTTCTACCATATTGCAGAAATGTATCAAATTTTGGCAAACCTCAGATTTATTTTTCATAAGATAAACCCAAACGCCTCTAGTAAAGTCATCAACAATAGACAAAAAATAGCGTGCTCCGGAAGTTGAATCACATCTATAACCTCCCCATATATCACAATGTATCAATTCAAAGCAATGAGTGGTCTTACTGGTACTTTCCGGAAAAGGCAAGCGAGTTTGCTTAGCTCTCAGACATGGATCACAAAAATTGTTGTTCCGTCTGAAATCTTTGATGGATGTGATGTGTTGTAATTTCCCATCTGAAGCATGTCCTAAACGTTGATGCCATAAATCTGAACTTGAAGCAACAGACATTGCTATCCCTTCACTTCTTTGTTCCTCTATGTAATAGAGGCCATTGCAGAGTTTTCCCACACCAATTAGTTTTCTTGAAGAGGTGTTCTGCAAAATACATAAATCGGAGGAAAATGTGAATGTGCAATTAAGATCGCTAGTGAGTTGACTGACTGAGAGCAAGTTGCAACGGAACTGCGGCACATATAAAACACGTCGAAGGTAGAGCCCATTAGGTAGGTATATGCTGCCAACTGCGGAAACGGGAACAAATTCACCATTTGGAATCTGGACCGCTGGCTGAGAAGGTTGAATCAAAATGTTGAACAAATTTTTATCATCACAAGTGATATGCTCACTTGCCCCTGAATCAATTATCCAGGTGCTAGTGTACGGCAGTCTTCCTTCCATGCTGGCTTGAACACTTGAAGGGAAGAAGAGATAATAGTTTGGGATTTTAACAAATGGCTAAACTCTAATTTCCAGGTTTTGGCTCTGATACCATGTTAAAATTAAATAAAACATTAATGATAAAAATAAGAACTTGTACTGAGAGAACAAGACTTCATATGAAGGAAATAGTTCGTAGCTTATTTCGTCCATTACATGCATGATACATATATATATTACAATGGTTGGTGTGACCGTGTGAATAATAATAGAAAGGGAATAATCCATGGGCCATGAATAACATGCACCCATATACGTATGCTTAGTAATGAAGAAACATTGCACATGAATAATAATAATAATAATAATAATAATAATAATAATAATAATAATAATAATAATAATAATAATAATAATAGTAATATTAGATCAATAATTTCAATAAATGATAATAATGAAAAACAACAAATCTGATACGGGTTGCTTGGAAGAATATTAGAATAACTAACATAATTGAGAAACATGGAAGAAATCATTACAACCTATGAAGAAAGCATACAAAATTATGGAGTACGAAAATTGGAACGATCTTGCTGAATAAGGCTCACCGAGGATAAATGAGAAAAGAAATGTAGTGTGGAAGCAACTAAAATGCTTTTGAAAGTTTTTCGGGATCGGTGCAGATATTTTTATTCGGACCATCTAAAGTCTAAACATAAGAAATTTTGGACCGGTCACCTTTTTTGGGCCGGATCAATCCTTCATAGCCCATCAAACCTTCGTAGGGATAATGACGAGGAACATAATTCATGGAGCATAGAAAGTTTCTTAACTTTTCTTCATGACCCATGCAACACAATACTTAAGAATGTAAATGCACAAAAAACGTACATTCTTAGCTTATTTGAATTTCCTTACATGATGCGGTGCATTCTCTCTTTAGAAATGCTTTTGAAGCACTAAATGGCGTAGGGATATGGATTATTCCTTCCATGTAAAATTTAAAGCCTACTTTACAAGGAATTACTCCGTCCCTCCGTCCCAAAAAATTCTTCCCAATTTGACTTGGATCGGAGTTTAAGAAAGTGAGAATAAAATAGAAATGTATGGTTGTGTAAGAAAAAGGTAAATTAATGGTAGTCATACAAACCTTTCAAAGTTAGGAAACGGAAAGAATTTTTTGGGACATCCCAAAAACACAAGTGGGAATTTTTTTTGGGACAAAGGTAGTAATTATTATTGTGTTGAATTCATCGTAAAAGTGATAACCGAATACTTGAATTGCTTAAGTATCGTGTAAGTTCACCAACACACCGTAGGTTTTTCCATTCTCCTTATATTTTAAGTAGAATGCACTTTGATAGGGTACACATTAAGTTAGGAAAATGAAAATCGTATCGTTCTTATTCATGAATAAAGTATATGAATCATATATATTGATCTCGAGCTGTGTTAATTTGGAACAAGCGAAAATTTGACAAGATAATTTGTAAATAAGCATCGGGAAAAATGTTTTACTTTCTTTCCCATCATGATAGGTTTTAATAGAGAAAATTATTGATTGAATGATGTAATTTTTAATTGAGTCCGCTTTAAATGCTTAAATTTATTCATTTGTAGATATGGTTCTGAGACTAATAAACTTGTTCACAAGCATTTCTCTTTGGCAAAGTACCCTTCTCAGTGGAAAAATGTTAGTGATGGTGTCTTTTTTGGTGTGCTTTTTTCGGAAGGTGTACCTTTTGATTGAAAAGTCTTGATATCAGTGGCGGATTTAAGTTTCAAACTTTGGATGTTCATTTTTTGGTATAATAAAAATTTGAAAGAACAATAAATAATTAACTTAAATTTACACATATATACTAATATGTTTTTCAATATTTTAGGTGTTCAATTGAACACTCTTGAAGTATAGTGGCTCCGCCACTGCTTGATATGAGTATAAATAATACTCGTATTTGCTAGTTATAATTTACTAGATGGAATATGTATATACATAAAGTTACAGAGTTAACTTAATAACAAACACAATCAAGAATTATGATACCATAATAGTGAATCTCTCGATATTATACTCTTTATATTCGATATCTCCATAATGCAAAAGTGTTAATGTTGACATTGTGTTTACATTAGCAATAAAAACTAACCGAAAAACTCACACTTTTAACTTAAAAGAGAGAAATGACTATAATTTATCACACATCTCTATTTATCCCATTGTCTATACACTTTCAACATTTTTACATTGGAGATGCTCTTAGTAATATTTACAAAATTACTGGAATAGATTTATAGTGACCGTTTTAGGTTTTGTCACATGATCAATTATTAATCATCTCTCTTATGACTTACAATCGTCATCTTTACATAAGTCAATATTTTCTTGGTCCTAACTCACCTATCACATTTACTTACTCCTTAAAAGATTGTGACATTATGAAATTTATTCTTTTCATAAAAAATTGAACACAGTGGAGCCAGATTCGTGAATGAGGATGAGTGAGGGTATACGGGTGGAGCCGGATTGGTTGGAGTTGGGTCTAGACGGGAAGAATTGACAAAGCTGCGCCTCTTGCGGGCTACCAATTTCGGACAACTTAAGTTACATGAATTGGGGACACTCGATCCTTAGTGAACGAATAATCTATTTCTAGAGACCAAGGTACCATCATGCCGGTTGGAAATAATAATGTAGACGTAATTTTCAATTTCGGGAGGAAAGAAATGTAATTTTTCTTCTACTATATATTCATGTATGTAAAACCCATATGGAGTGAAATTCGAGACCACAAATGATACAAATGATGATATAATCATAACTTTGTTCTTTGTCTATACACTTCAATTCGTTCAAATACATTACATATGACTTTTGATCTAGTGCAAATTATCTCTCCACGTCATGGAAATGATGTTTGAGATAGATGTTTTCATTTGAATATTTTTTTTATATTAGAGCATATTACACCAAATTGGACTTGAACTAGAAATGATTGAACCAGAGAGTTTTAGTCTGCGCTGAAACTAATGACACATATTTGTGTAAATAAAATATATAGCCTATTTGATTAAAACCAAAAAAGATCTCCTAAAAGTATGCTATACATTGAACATGCTAAACAAACTCTTGTTTTCTTAGTCTATACAACAGGTAAATTCTCGAAGTTAACTAATTACGTTTCAAGAAATTCTATGAAAACTCTTCAATGATTTATTTGAAAATGATGTTCACATCCAGGGACGGAGCCAAGGGAGGGTCAGGGTGGTCAATAGACCCCGCTGAAAGTTCAAGAATGTAGAGCTTTGAAATACCTTCGGTTTGATATATTATGAGTCTCGTAACTCATTACGAGTAAAAAGTTATGACTTTTGAATAAATCAGCACCATCTTAACTTGAAATAAGCAAAATTTGATGTGTGTCGTTGATTATATTCTTAAATTTAAAAATAAAACACCTTATATAGTCACTAGTTGTGTGAACATTATGATATATTACATATATATCAATACATTAGTCGAAAAATTCTCATTAAACTACCATTTATCTCAACTACTCATGAAACATTTAATTCAAGTATAGTATATTGACTATCCATCACTTTGATACTGTATATAATTCATCTCCAACCCCCCTTACACATTTCTCTGGCTCCGCCCCTGTTCACATCTATTACATTTGTGCACGTTTCCGTGCAACATAGTTCTTAATAAGTTGAATCAAACCTCCTGAATTAGGACTAAATTAAACATCTATCTAATTGGAAACAATCAAACAATGCGTCATTCTCAACTTTTGATTCAACCATTCCCTCGGCCTAAGTCATTGTCTCATTTAAAATGAATTTTAGAAATCAGCTACACCAATAAAATGTAGCAGATGACTGATTTAATTCATATGTGACTATATGTGGGTAGCAATTCAAACACATGCATAAAAATCAAACAAATTCCTTAAAGGGGGGCCTGTTTAAAGCTATGCTGTTTTATGTACTCTGTAGTACACCATTAATTAAAATGAGCATTATTCGGTTGATTTGATCCTATAACAGATGCGAAAACAAGTTGGCGAAAACGAATGAAGAGACAATAGAGAAGGATTGATTACCGGCTACCAGGAAAGCACAAGTGGCGGGTAGATTGTGCTGAAAGGCGTTGTAAAATGGTTAGCAAATGGAAAATCCTCTTTCCCTTCTCATAGCTGCTGCCGAATTCCGTCCGGGATATGATATCGGCGGCGAGCCGAGTCATGTAGCTTTCAATCTCGAACTCGGTTTGACCCGTTTTCGTTGCATTTTCCAATGTTTGAAGCATCTCTTTTGTGCAATCCACCATGTAACATGCATAACTCTATTCACAAAAATAAGTTACAAAAAACGGCTATTAATTAGAATGTGTGATCTAATAATCCACAAACTTATAGCGAAACAATTAGTAGTGCCGTATTCAGGAATTGTTGTGAGGAGAACATGTTCACATTAAATAGTATCTAACGCATATCACAAACACTTGCACACATTATTTGTTATTTTACCCATTGGGATAGTAATAGGGTATACTTACACAAACACTATTTCAAATCACTATTTTGTAGTGGTTTGAAATAATATGTTACAACATAAAAACCTCACACAAGTATCTATGGGGACTCGCGGGAAATAATGATGAGGGGGCGATCGGGCGAGACCAGGAGTAACGGGGAGTAGGGCTGGGTGGGGCCACGATTACCTAAGGATGGGATGGGGTGGGAGAATTTTTTAAACATGAAGACGAGATGGCCGGGGAGTGAACTCTTAGCCAAGCCCATTGGAATCCCTACCAACAACTGTCTTACTGAGTTGGAGTTTTGTAGGTAAGATACTCTACACATGCATACAGTTTTTGACTGATAGTGAAGGAACACCAAAACATGTCAATACTCATTTGTATTAAATTAGGTATTCTCTTACTTTGACTAAATACGCCTATCAAGAATAAACGAAAGTTATGGATTTTTTTCATTTATATACTCGTATATTGGAGAGAAAAAATACCATATACTTCGTACATTGTAGGTGGGCAAACAAATATAGGATATGTATGTCATTGGTCAAAATTGAATGTCATTGATCAAGAAAAGTCAATTTGACGAACATTTTTTGTAAATGTAATTGGCTTATTTTGCATATCATCAAAATAATCACAATAAACTATTTTTAACTTGCTTCTGATTGAAATGAAACTTCAATTTTTTTTGTGAGACAGTCACTTTATTCAATTTTCCAAATTACTGTTACCATTCTACCAAACCAAATCTTATACCGATAGTACTACGTACGTAGACAAGTACAACGTGGTATAAGACTTTACGGTTTAGTGAGGATGCATCTTTTTTGTAAATTATTGGATGCGAAATACTACGTATTTATTTACAGTACAAAAGGTTGGTTCTGAATCAATAATGTATTTGTGACTCAATTCGTTTTTCAAAAATGTATCGGAACAACCCAAAAAATCCATTATAATATACACATTTAAATAATACAAACAAGGTGTGACACTTTGACCGTGTCAGTGCACAAGCTTCCAGCTAATAACGGGGTCTCCGCCCTGGGGATGGTCATGTACACATTTTAACACGATTCAATTCCAACTCCGGTACCTTTCTAAAAACAGGAATATCATACCTAACATTCATTTGATTGGACCACATCACTTTATCAAGTTTAATTTTGATTTAAATAATTCAACTGCTACATTTTCATTGGTTCATGTAGACAAAGGTATGATATCTTATGGGTACCATAGAAACTACCTTCAATTCCAGCTAATAATAACACAGTCAATGAATAAAAATCACGTGCACGCAAATATATACGTAGTACTATGTATAATTTACAAAATTTATAACAATAATTTGAAGTTAATGTAACTTTTAATAAGGAGTACACAATAACTTCAAGTCTTAGTAATGGTAATATTTTTAGTAATATGTGGTAGGTATGAAGTTGTGGATCTGTTCATTTTTAGATTACAATATGACCAAAAAACTGTAGTGCGTAGTCTTACTAATGGTAACATTTTCTGTAAACAAATGCTATTCCAATTACGTATTAGGCAAACACCTTATAAAAATTGCATAAACTAATATTCACCCGTTCTAGAATCAAACTCGTCTTTTCAATTTTAAATCAAAATTTCATAACTTTGATCATTAATTATTCAAATTTCATATGCTATATGAAATTTTAACACGAGAATAATTTGTATACTTTATTTTAAGATGTAATATATATTGAAACGGCAATTTGTTACGGAGTATAATAACTTAGTGAATGTACGTTCTGAGATATTTATATTCAAACATCAGCATTGAATAGCTACAAAGTTAAACTCTCAAATGAATTGCAGATACTTCCCATATGTTTGGGAGTTTGAATGGAAGGGGAGAGGAATTTTTTACATGTTAGTCATTTGAAGAGATATAATTAAAACCACTTCATGTATATGATAAAAATCAAATACATGAATTTGTATTTATTTAAAATTGAGCTAAACTTGTCATTTAATTAATTATCCTTCAAAAACCCCTAATTTGAGAAACTTGAAAGATGAGCATTTGAATGGTTTTGGAGGATTACAAAAACCATTTAAAATCATTCCTCTTCATATTTTTAAACTATCAAACATGAAAGGGGAGTCATAAACCCTTGTAAATCTTTCTCACTCCTCCAAAACTCAACTCACAAACATACCCTTATATATTACATATGTTCCTTAATTAGTAATTGTAATATGTTAATTGTTAAACTATTCACATCATCTACTTGATCGGAATTTATTTATTAATGTCTTAACCATTACTCCGTATATATTAAAAGCATCGTTAATTTGTCTCATTTTAAATTTCCAACATACATTTTCTATAATTTTTAATAATATTCGATTAAATATAAGGAGTTTTAACTTTTAACTTTGAGTGAAAATGTAAATGTTCATCTAAATAGCAATAAAAAATACTCTTTAGTACGGAGTATAAAGTACGGAGTATATACGTATTAGCTTTTTTTTGCAAGAATATACGTATTAGCTTTTATTATACCTTAAGTTTGTCTCCCATGAAGGCTGGCGACACAATGCGGCGCTGCTGACACCACTCCTCGCCGTTGGCCATCAACAACCCACGGCCGACGAAGTGTTTAGACCCTTGCCGTTGCAGCCACGATTTTCCGGTGACGGCGGTGTGCCGGGAAAGCAGCTCCCTGATCAAATCCGGGTCAGTCAGGCACAGCCGGGGCTCCACCCCGGTCCAATACATGAACCTCTTCCCGTACATCTTCGACCAGGCGGCGTAATGCGGCAAGAGGCGGGGTACGACGTCGTGGTGGACGTGTCCCATGTCGCCGGCGGTGGACTCCGACACTAAAGCGGCGATGTCGAAGATGTTTCCGACAAGGAGCCGAGGTTTGGGCCCACGCACCCCTTGCTTCTCCATGGCTTTCTGGATGCGTCTTGGGGTTAACCAGTAACAATGGATGGTTTCGTAGGCAACTTTTAATAACAAGTAAATGAATATAATCATCAAAAACGCCATTTCCACCATGGCTATGTATGTATATATTTAATTATATTTATATTATGACAACATATATGCAAATACGACTTTAATTTAATATACGTCTGCTATCTGAAGAGATGGAAGAGCTCTGTTGGCTACTTATAATGGACAAATATTCTTGTTCATGTATCACAGATTCACAGTATCAGTTATTGGAAAGCCGTTTTGACTATTTAAGATGGTACTCCGTACTTTTTATAAAAATAAATTTCAAATATATAAGCAAATGTTACATCCTAGTGACTATAAAAATTATTCGTAGTAACTTTTTGGTAAAAATGTAAAAGGACTGTTTTGCCTTTTAGCAGGTAATTAAGCGATTAAAAATAGATAAGGAAAAAAGGAAAGAAAGAGAAAAAGAAAATGTAAAAGCATGCCACATCATTTGCCACACATGCAACTTAACTAGGAACAATTAATATCCTGCTAAAAGGACTGTTTTGCCTCGTTATATTTAGTTCGTGGGCTTAATTGGATGTTTTTTGAGTTCAGGGGCTTAATTGACTTTTTCGTATTAGTAGGGGGGCCTATTTGACACTTTTCCCATTTTTTATTAATAATATTTTAGAAAAACCTTCTTTTTATAATAAAAATGTTGCTCCTACACGCCGTCTTACACGACTGTTTACATGTTAAAAGCATCTCCAATGCTACAAAGATAGCCACATAAATATTATCAACTAAATTATCTATCTCCTTATTTGAATGTTTTTTTACAAATTTGGTAAGTCTTTCTCTGCAATGTCAACCACACTGTCAACGTCTAGACGATCTTCTTGACACTGTGCATAAAACTTACTAAAATTATATAAAATCATTCAAATAAGGAGAGAAATGATCTATTTTCTAATATTTATGTGGCTACCTCTCATGCCACATGTGTATTGTGCACATTGAAGTATCCGAGATGCTCTAAATGTATTTTGTCTATGTACAAACAATTAATTTTCATTTTAGTGTAGTAAAGGGATTTGTCTGTGCACAAAAAAATTACTTTTTCGGGGTTATAGACAATCCCTTTATTAATTGTATGTGCACAAACAAAATATACTTGGCGTGTAAGGATGTTTTCTTTTGGACTGAAATTTGCTGGTCTGGTCTGATCTGGTCTGATAAACGTCTGGTCTCTGTGTCTTTTATAACTACGGAAGTCTGGTGTGGTCTAGTCTAATGTTGTCTAGTCTGGTCTGGTGTGAGACTGAAAACAGTCCAAAAGAAAACAACCAAGACGACGTGTACAGGTAGTTTTTTTAAAACATTTTAGAATATTTAGACAGGTAATAATGATTTGATTTCAATACGTCAATGTGACATGTGTGAGGAGGATCTATCACAGTATATATTTTGGAATTGTATATAGAGTGGAAAGGGAATGAAATAAAGAAAAATGGAAAGTGAGAGGCGGAGAAAAGACAGTAGTGATAAAGTCTAAAAATTGGTAAGATACGTATAATGTAATGTAGAAAAACCGGAAAAGAGGTGCACACATTAAAAGACAGATCAAGTGATATCTTCAAATAGTTTGTCCTTTACACAAGCATATATTTATACGCTAATTTCACAACTAGGAAAGCACTAAAGGTTAAACATTCATTTCAAATAATACGGTAATAATGAATCATAATATACTCCGCATAACTTTTTCATTTCTGACTTAGTAGTAGTATCATTGACCAAATAGACTTTGTTTCTTGTCATTTGTACGATATCTTTAGCTCTAGGTTTTCATTTTCATTTTCATTAAATATAAAAATGTGGTCCAAGTCTCCAAGAGAATAGAGAGTGCTAACTAGAAAAGAGACGAATGATCAGTAGGAATAATGTAGCTAGAGCCCGTTTGGTTACATGAAAATCTGCTGATTCGGCTAATGCTGCTGAAATTTATGAAGTTTTTGTTAAAGTAGCTGTATCGGCTGATTCTGTTGATATAAGAAAAAAATTATTTTTAAAATGTATTTTATTAATAAAATAAAGAAAAAATTATATGTAAAAATACGTAAAATGGTCATCTACAATAATTTCAGCCAATACAGTCATAAAAGTAAATTCAACCTTACTTTTTCTTATTATTACACAATTCAATGCGCGAAAACAAAAATTATGTGTTTGGTGAAAAAATTGGTTGATAAGCCTGATATGCCGAAAAACAATGTTACCAAACCGCTTCATAGTCAGTTGAGAGTACTTCAAACCCAATAGAGTGAGTATATATAAACCTATAAATAAACTTAATAGTACACAATAAAACATTAAACTTTAAAACTATGAGCTCGGTGGTTTTAATTTTCGCTCGTTCAGTGGCTCGTCAAAATTTTCCTAGTAACATGTGGTTGCAATGTCTTAAATTACCCTTTTTTTTTTGAGGGGAACTTATATTGAAATCAAAGTATTAGCATTCGGAAAGAGAGTAAACTGAGTAAAAGATCACAGCCACATGTCAGTCCTCGAACTAGAATTGAAGTTAATCACCTTCAAACAAACAATATAACTCATTGATCCATTAATGGGCAAACCTGAGCCACAAACGATTGAAGTAGATCCAAACTCACTCCATCTTCATGCAAGAGTCTTACAAGAAAAACAACAACAAAGCAAAAACATTCTGATAAAATAAAACAACAATAATAAAAGCAGAAAAATAAACATTCCTCTCCATTCGCACGAACACCTTCACAGGTCCATAAACCTCAAAATCTGCATATTCGAACAAATTAATTACTACCCATTCACACGAACACCTTCACAGGTCCGTAAACCTCAAAAATCTGCTTATTCGAACAAATTAATTACTACCCAAAAAAACAAAACAAAAAATGGTTTGGTACTTTTTAGGGGATGTCTAAAGTGTTGAAATTTACGGAAAGAAACGGAAATACAAAAGAAGCGGACGGGTAGGCCTCGTGCCTAGGGTTTGGAGCGGTGATTATCAATCGCCCGCGGCTTTCTTATCGACGGCTGGTCTCTTTCCGGCAAGGTGCAACTTTGGTCTAGGCGAACTCTATTTTCGCGATAGTTCTCTGCTCGGTGGTGCAAGATCTAGGCAGAGGTGCAAGGTCTTCCTCAGGCGCGGTTCCGGTTCATTGGCGAGCAGGAGGAGGCCACAGAATCTCCCAGGGCAGCGTCGGATCTGGTCCTGGAAGAAGACGAAAGAGCTCTCAGTTTGGTAAGTAGGTCCAGATTTGCTGTTTTCCCAAATTCGATGTCGTTGATGTCCAATGGCTTCGAAAGCTATTGTGGAGTTAGGTTTGCGAGATCAGACTCTCAGATGATTGGGTTGACTATTTTGGCTTTGCTAGTGTTTGAGATGAAATTAAGCTACACCGCCTGTGTTTGATCCGGGTGGAATTTTGGCGGGGAGGAGTCCGGTAGAAGAAGCGGCTTTGGGATCCAGTTCGGTGCTTGAGGGATCAATGCGGGTGACTCAGGGGGTGGAGGACGAAGACAGAACGTGGTTGACTCGTCCCCCTCTGGAACCGCCACCACAGAGGAACCCCAGAACTAACGTATGGATTTTACTGTCCCACCAGTTGTCAGGCACAACACTGAGAGGCATCGGCCGACAGCTTTGGGGGTTGAATAAGGCAGAGAGTAGGGCTGAGCAAAACCCGAACCGACCCGCAAAACCCGAAGTTTTTTTCGGATAATATCAGAACCGAAATGGATATCCGACCCGAAAAACCCGAAACCGAAAATCCGATTAGTATTGGGCCTAGATCGGGTGGCGGGTAGGGTTTTTAAAATCCCAACCCGACCCGCCCGAATATCCGAAATATATTAAATAATTTAGTGTGTACTTTTAATATGTTAAATTAATACTTGTGTTCAATTATTTGTGTAATTATTTGTGCAATTTGTGTTAAATTATTTTTGTAATTTGAATGTGTAGTGCACTAGTATGTACAATTTTTGTCAAAGTGACATTCCAACACTTTAATTATCCAATTATAATGTGTTTTAATATAAACGAAATATTTGAAATATATTAAATTATGTAGTGCGTACTTTGAATATGTTAAATTAATACTTGTGTTCAATTAATTGTGTAATTATTTATGCAATTTGTATTAAATAATTTGAATGTTTAGTGCACTAGTTTGTAGAATTTTTGTCAAAGTGGCATTCAAATACTTTAATTATTCAATTATAATTCTTTTTAATATAACCGAAATATCCGAAACCTGATCCGATATCCGACTTACAAATATCCGAAAAACCCGATTTGAAATGTCAAAGGGTCGGGCCTAGTATTTAACTTAAAAAAAACCGAACGGGTTTAGGGTACGCAGACCCGCCCCGCCTGAACCCGACCCGTGCTCAGCCCTAGCAGAGAGCCATGAAGACCTTTTTTATGTTTGCTGTTTTTCCTTTTATTTTGCTCACATTGTTTTTATCATTATTTTGAACTCTAGTGGTAGGTTGGTGTTTGTTTTTTCTTACTTGGTTTGGGATGCTAGAGTTGGTGGAAGCGATAAGGCTTGTTTGGCCGTTAAAAGCTTCGAAACTCTCACATGGTTCGCGAATAGCCTCGCTCCTTATGGGGTGGTCTATTCTAAGTCTAGCCAGAGAGTGGGAGGGCCTTTGGGCTATGCGGAGCCTCACGAGGAGGTTTGGTGTTTCAAGGGGGAAGTACTCTTAGAGTTTTGATTGAGGAGTTTGGCATTGTAAGGGGAAGATACATTGAGAAGTTTGCTTGATAATAATATAATCAGTTTCCTTAAAAAAACGGAAATACAAAAAGTATTTGAAAATATGATTGTTTATAGCAAGATGTAGTCTTCTTCGGACAAAACCCAATTCACAAAATAACAGATCTTTTACTAAGCATGTAAAGCCGAATGTCCCCCATTTTATGTAGTCTTTCTCAAACACCACACCATTTCCATATACTGAAATTGAAAACCTTGACCATATTACTATATGAACCATGGATAAAACTAATTAAGATTTGATGTTAAGACTCAGGGTTCCATTTTAAAAGGATAACCTGATACGAGGAGGCGTAACCCAAAGTCTTATATAGTATTTTATTGCGTTATAGTTTTCCGGTGTGAGAGAAATACATTAACACTCTTTCTAAGCTCGAACCGGACTGAGCAATATCGGGGAGTATGGATGGAGCAAAACATACACTTAACTAGCTACCC